AGTTATGATTGAACACATTAAAATATCAGCACTTAAATATATAAGTTATTATTAAAAATGAAACTAGTGGGGTGTATGGCATCGTGCCTTAAGGCAAATTGCTGGAACTTCTCGTACCGTAACAAAATGTTCGAGGAATACTAAATGTTTTCAAATAGATTATTATTAAAATTGTAACATTGTCTAATATTTATAAGAATTATGTAAACTGAATTGCAAAGTTGAAATTATTTGTTTAAAAAAAATTTTTTTGTTTCAATTTTTTTTTCCAAAAAAAAAATTTTTTGTACATCGAAAATAATTCAGATTTCATTTTTAATTCTGACTATAGTTCTAATATACTTTGAAGTTTAAAGTATATTGAAACTATAGTCAGAATTAAAAAAGAAATCTGAATTATTTTTGATATACAAAAAAAATTTTTTTCCAAAATCAATTATTTTGTTAAGACAAGCAGAAAGTTCTTTGAATCGGTTGATCCGTGCGCCCGAAAACGTGACTGGAAATTTGTATCCATACATACACACACACACATCCATTTTTTTCTGAGGTATGCCAAAATGTTCAGAATCCTTCAAAACGTCGAAAAATGTAAAAAATTTCAATTTCGATTACCCTACGGAAAGTTAAAAAATAATTCTTAAAAAAGTGTTTGTTTTTACATATCAGAAGAAATCCAATAATTTGATTTCTTCAATTTATATTAAATAGTTACTAGCCAATAATAGTTATTCATTACCGAAGGAGTTAATTTTTCCAGAAAATACAATCTGCTAATTTTATGTTTTATCGTTGTTTCAATTAAAAGTTAGTCTTGCGTCGATGGTTTTTCGAAACGGCTGCACCGATTTCAAATTTTAAGTGGTTTATAATAAAAAACCAAAAAAGTTCAACGTAATAATGGGCCTTGTCATAAAAAGTTTTATCATCATAATTTGAAAAGTTGATTAATCTCAATTAATATTGTTAAGTCAATTATCTTGCCTAAAGGCAAAATTTCCCTTGCAACTAGTGCAGTGTTCGTGGGTGCCCGTTAAGTGGTTAATAAAACTAATTACTATGTCACATTATGAAATTATTGGATCTGCTAAGGACAGATGAAAATCTGAATTCAAAGCTGAAATATTCCTAAACGGACAAAATTATCAATTAGTAATGAAAATTGTTGTATTAGCAAATTTTTTTTTCATTTTTTTATGCCTTAATTTTCAACAGCAATCAAAACCTCCACACTATGCGTTATTATGATCATTTTTTTTTATCAAACTGTATTTAGATGATAATTCAATGGTTAACCTATCTATATTTGATCGCTTTTTATTATTAGAAATAATTTAATATTTAAATACACGCAGTAATACTTTGAAAGAGTTATTTTTATTTGGGAATAAATTTTTCTACTGCCCAATATCAGGATGTCTCTAACGGGCATTAAACCCATTTTCATCGGTTAGATTATAATGAGCTACAAAAATATATAGTTTGATAATAGTTATTAATAGATATAGTTTGTTTGATGTTCATACTAAACGACAAATTAAAACCAGTATAATATTGCATAGGTTTTAATTGGAAACTACTGTATCCAAGTATTGAGGTTTTCAGAAATATAAAAAAATTATAAATTTAAAACTTTATTTTTTTAAAGAATATAATTTGTGCTAAACTATGGCAATACCTTTACTAATGCAGTTTTAAAAAGATTATGATTTCAAAAAATAAACTTAAAATCGTTCTAGTACGAGTATATTTACTAATAGTACAAGCTTTTCTATACTATATACGATCAATTTATATTTCAGAGCCAAGAATTTTTTATTAACCCAGTAGAGTAAGTTATTGTAATGAGCCGAAATTCGAAATTGAAAATTTTTACATTTCTCGACGTCTTGAAGGTTTCTGAACATTTTGGCATACCTCAGAAAAAATGGATGTGTGTGTATGTGTGTGTATGTATGTATGGATACAAATTTCCAGTCACGTTTTCGGGCGCACGGATCAACTGATATGAATGGTTAAAAAAACATTCGATTCCTATTGATAGTGAGATGAGCTGATTAGTTTTAGGCAAAGGCAGGTCCTGCAGTTACGGAGATAAAGAGCAAAGAGTGCAGAAAATAGTAATCGAGTTTTTTAGAGAACGGAGCATCCGATTTGAATGATCTAAAAACACTCAATTGTTAATGATTGGGGGAACTGTTTATTAGTTTTTGGCAAAAGCAGGCCCAGCCAACTAAGCGTCCGATTTAAATGATTTAAAAAACTTTTTGCTTGTCTTAACAAAATAATTGATTTTGAAAAAAAAAAATTTTGTTTCAACTTTTTTCTTTCAAAAAAATTTCTTTTTTTGTATATCGAAAATAATTCAGATTTTATTTTCAATTTTGACTACAGTTTTAATATACTTTAAACAAATAATTTCAATTTTGCAATTCAGTTTACATAATTCTTGTAAATATTAGACTTTGTTACAATATTAATAATAATCTATTTGAAAACATTCAGTATTCGTCGAACATTTCGTTACGGTACGGGAAGTTTCAGCAATTTGCCTTAAGGCACGATGCCATACACCCCACTTATTTAGTTTATTAATTAGAATTAGATTTTTGATAATTTTGACAATAGTCTATCACTTCGATAACATAATTTAATTTATAAACTATAATAAAAACTAAGCAACAAGATAACAATAATTCTTATTAGTCATATTTTGATAGTCATATTTATAGAACAAAAATAAAATACTTAATGTTATTCCTGGATTTTATTGGGTCAAGAACGAGGTTTACATGAATTTTTATTTATTTTTTTGTTTGGTATTACTTGATTAATTAGTTCTAATGGATTTGAAACTTATTCGATGATGTCAAATTAAATGAATTATCTGAAATATAAACTTTAGACATGCAATGTATGAAACTAATTCCTACCTACGTGATTTTTCATTTGCATTTTATTAGTTTTATTACCTAAATCTGTTGACACATCAAAGTTTGTACTGAGGATTTCAATTACATACAATCCCAATTAGTTATGGTTTGATCGGTAAGATTTACCTTCCTCGCATCACAAATCTCTCTCATGATGTCAAAGATGATGTCTTAAATGCAAATTACATTGTTCGCTATAATTTGCTCGTGTACAACGCTTTATAGGATATATAGTTGGAATATTGGGCGTTTACTTTATACCATACGTGTATTTGCTTAACTTGTATTTGGAGATGAAGAGAATATTTGATTCTATCTAGGGGATGCAATCTGTGGTCTTGTTGCTCTTAATATAATATATACTCCAAAGCTATTATAATGTCAACATTTGGGAATATTTATGCTTAGTAATTTATGCGTAAATACTCTGTTAGTAGGGCTTATGAAAATGAACAACTATGTTGCACATACACACATATATACATATTATATATATATATATATATATATATATATATATATATATATATATATATATATATTATGTATGTATGTAACGATTAATTTTAAAAATTTAGAATTCATGTTATAACAAATAGTCTTAATTCTAGAAAACTTGGGGCAATTGTCACATTATTTTAAACTATGGAACTAGAAATTTTATTTACGGTTACGGTTCTATAGTTTAAATGAACAAAAATAATACAAATTTAACCACAATAATCAAAAACTGATCACAAGTTTACCAAAACTCTAACCTAGGGTTAATATCTCATAATTTTCAAACTACACGAGATAATTTTTTCTACTTTCTTCATGATAGTATACTAGTTTTGGCTTGATGTTGAGTTCTGGTACACACGTTATATATATGAAAGTTTTAGCTTTTAATATTGTCTTTTAGATAGAGCGCAATTCAAAGATTTGTATGGAAATAACATGAAAAAAATTTCAAAAATTTTGCAGAACATCGAATTTTCAATAAAAAATGACACTAATTTTCACTTTTATTTCATTTGTCGCTAAGTTATACCTAAAATCTTTTTTTTATTTTCAAAAATTTTTACATGCTATTTCCATACGAAGTTTGATTGAATTGCGCATTGTCTACTTTCAGAGAAATGTTTTTTATCAATTTGGAACTATTTGAGCCCTTGGGAGCAAGAAAATTTGAAAATGTTCATATTAAGGACCACCCTAATATATATATATATATATATATATATATATGTCTAATATAATATATATATATATATATATATATATGAGTAAGTTTTTCAAGGTCGATACATCAAAGAAACAACAAAGATTAATAAAATAATCTTTTATTCCCAACGTTTCGACATACAATTTGATGTCATCCTCAGTGGATATTAGACTTGATATTTTACATATAAAAATGTATACATATCACAGAAATTTGAACTACTTACATTTTAAAAATGTAAAATACCAAGTGTAATATCCATTGAAGATGACATCAAATTGTACGTCGAAACGTTTGGAATTCAAGATTATTTTATAAATCTTTCTTTTTTCTTTGTTTGACATATAGCCCTTAAATACCTCAACATGTATATTCATATATACTTATGTATAAAGTATTTTTTTAGATATGAATATTATCAAAAACTCTTGACATATTTGCGATTTTATTAACTTTCCCTACGGTAAATTAAAATTGATATGCAGGATTTTAAGGACAGAATAAGTTTAATTTAAAGATGATAAATTGTAAACTTGTATTAAAACAAAATTAGTCTGAAGACACGTAATTTACTAAACTACTACTATATATTATATTATAAATCTTTAAAACCATTTCTAAACAACTATGATATTATATAATTGATAATTATCATTATGTTATAACCTAATCTTTCAAACATTGAAACTGAACCAGCTATATCTGCTAAATTTTATCTAACTAATGTTATGCAACTTTGTGCAACAAAAATGCCACAAAAATCACGTCCGTGCGTGATTTTTACTAAATTTTACAAAAAATTGGGCATATAAATATCCACGGGTGTTTTGTGTCAATATCAGTTTTGTAGAAACTACAAAATAGTGCTCAACACAATGAACTCCTTCGTTGCAACTGTTGCCATCGTCCTCCTTGCAGGAACTTGCGCCCAAGGTAAACAATTTTTTTATATATATATTATTATTTAATATGGATTATACTAATATACTAAGTTTGAACGTTTAAAACAATTTTGTACAAGTTTGAAGAAAGCTTGCGTGTACGTGTGTATGTGAATGCAATTTTTGCCTTCTGTTGACGTCTTTTCAAAAATTTATATAAGTAGGTTTTGATATATTATTAATATTTCACGTTTTTGACTACTTCTACAATCAAATTTACAGATTTTATAATCCACATTTTCTTAAATAATTGTAATGATTTGATTTTTCAAATAAACGCTTTACTAAATAAGTAACTTTCAAGAATTGTTCTAAATAATTTCTGGTTAAACCGGGTCTTTTCATTAACAAATAAATAAATGTTTGTTCAGAAATTAAAAAATTGATTATTTTTAAGTTTTAGTTATACTTGATTAGAAACAACTTTACTCCCATTTCCACAAGGGGTAGTTATTGTCCTGCACTATGATGTTCGAAACTTTATGCCAAAATTAAAATAATTCTTCTAATTCAAAGAGAAGAAAAATTCGTTTTATTATAATATCGAATTTCATCTCCTATATACAAATAACAAAAACAACCGTTATATCCGAGAGCTTTGACTGGTTTAATTTAATGCAAAGTTTAAAAATTTTGAGATGTCATCAAACTTAGTTTGGCACTTATCATATTTTTCAGCTGCATCAATATTTATTACAATAAAAATATTTTCTAGGTGCAACAACCGTGCTCTCCTCGACCAATGGCAATTACCACAGCAACTATGGATACCCATCATCTGTCTTGTCCCAAGGTTTCAACAATTTCAACTCATTCCCAACTACTTATGATCACTTCAACACTGGAGTAGTCGATACTGTTGTCTCTTCTCCCGTCGTCAAATCTTCAGTCACCACAACTCCTGTTGTTGATACCGTTGTTTCTACTCCAGTTGTCAAATCCACTCCAGTTGTTGCAAGTCCAGTTGTTGAAACTGTTGCCACACCAGTTGTTGCAACCACCGGTTATACCACCCCAGTTGTTGCAACCACTGGTTACACTACTACTGGCTACACCACTCCAGCTGTATCGACTGGATACACCACCACTGGATACACCACTCCAGTAGTAGCTTCCACTGGATATACTGGTTTGGGAGGTTATCGTTCTGGTTTGGGAGGATACCTATTCTAATAATCTACTATTCAAAGAATATTCGATTTAAATGATTTGGCTATGATGTTAATGTTGAATTTAATTGATGGAAATAAATTGCAGATTTCTAAAAATGTTTTTTTTTCAAATTTAGTGGCATTTTGATAAATTAATAGATAATTTATTTTTAGGTCACTGTTAATAATAATTTGTCTTATGCATTATACTTTTTTTCAAATTTATAGTAATTGCAAAAAAACGAAAATAACTTTTTTTATAAATCTTCACATTTGAAAGCATACTGAACATTTTGGCATACCTTAGAAAAAAATTGATGTATGTGAGTGTGTATTTTCGGATACAAATTTTCGTCGACGTTTTCGGGAACACGAATTAACGTATTTGAATACTTAAAAAATAATTCGATTCGAATTAATGGGCAGACGCACTGATTCGTTTTAAGGTACTGGGCAAAAAGTACCAAATATGGTAATTTAGTTTTTGCGACCGATGTGAATGATTAAAAAAACATTTTACTTGTATTGACAATAATGATAATTGTCTAGCAGTTTTGGCAATAATTAACTTCCTGTAGGGCAAGTTATAGTAATAGCAAAAAAATCGAAAATGAAAATTTTTATATATCTTTACGTTTCAAAACCTTCTGAACATTTTGGCATACCTTAGAAAAAATGTATGTATGTGCGTGTGTCTGCGTGCATGTGTGTGTGTGCGTGTATGTGTGTGTGTTCGGATACAAATTTTCGTCGACGATTTCGGGAACACCGATCAACCGATTTGAATAATTCTAAAAACATTCGATTTGTATTGATAAGAAGACATGCTGATTAGTTTTTGGCGAAGGCAGGTGTAGCCGTTTCGAAGATATTGGGCAAAAAGTGCCAAAAACGGTAACTTAGTTTTTAAGAGAACGGAGCGTTCGATTTGAATAATTCAAAAAACATTTTATTTGTATTCACTAAGCAGCACACTGTTCAAATTTTTGGAAAGGCGGGTCTAGTGCTTATGGACTCTCAATAAAAAAAAATGAATGAAAAAAATAAAAAAAACGCCATTTGGCGGTCAAAAATGTTTATTAGAGAAATTGTCAACGAGGCACAGTCGAAATAACATTAGTTTGACTTCATTAATATTCTATTTTTAAGTGCATTTAATTAATGTTATCTTTAAGTTGCTATGTAACATAAAACATGTAACCGAGAATAATTACTAACAATAAATATAAAAATTTATTTATATATTAAGTTTACAGTATGTATTTATAATAAAGAACCTATTTAAAATTATTTAAAACAATCATTGTTCGAGCCTCACAATTTTTATTTATCCATCTCCCTCTACCTATATACTGAACTCCCTCTAATCTGTAATAAAATAATTTCCTACCCTACTCTAGGTACTAAGATAGTTATAAGAAATTAGCCATTCTGTACGCATAACTTGAACCGTGAACATCATACAAATAAATACTATTATTAACTAACCAACTTATTTAACTTACTTATTTTTTAAAGGTCTGATATAGCCATTCTAATGATAAATTATATCTGGTCCTTCGAGGTAATTAAGTGTCTGTGCGTAGTGATTTTTAATTGACTTTTTTAATAAACATTGCGCCGGGCGCTTACATTTTTTGGTCCAATTCGAGCCGGATTCGACCTCCAGTGTTAAACTTAAACCTATATTAACTAATATAAACTAAAAAGTGCACAGTGATTTCCAACACAGCGTAATCCACTGGAGCCACAAATCTAACCTACAAAGTGCACAGTGATTATTAACAGCGTAATCCACTGGAGCCACAAATCTAACCTACAAAGTGCACAGTGATTATTAACAGCGTAATCCCCTAGAGCCACTTAATCTAACTTACAAAGTGCGCAGTAATTATTGACAGTGTAATCTACTGGAGCCACAAAAACTACTCATCAGTGTACGTTATTATCAACAGCGTAATAACTGCATTATCAAGAAAATCTACGAAGCGGTCAAGAAGCTACAGAATCACATCAAACAAGGTTAGTCAAAGCAATCCTTTCTAACTTATCCTAAACTTATCCTAATCTTTCACCTAACTCTATACTTAACCATCTCTAGAATTTTGTGTGAATCTACATTAAAATGGATTCATTAAAATCATTACAATCTTTACAAAACGAACTAACATTAATAAAAGCTCGTCTAGCAGAATTTGAACAAACTTGTAACGAAATGTCAAAAATTCCGTGTAGCAAACTAAATGTATTACAGATAAACGGTATTTTGGAAAAAGTGAAACCTATGATAGACACGTTCCAAAATACACTTGTCGAAATAACTACTTTTTTAGACGACGAAGAAGAAATTGATCAATTATTAGAAACAGAACTACTTGATTTCGATGACGATCATACTAGATGTCTATCAAAATTACGTAAACTACTTAATAAAGCATCCACTAAATCTGGTTCTACTAACAGCTTTAGTGATCAAACAATCAAATCATCAAACAATATAAAACAACCTCCAATTTCGATCAAATTACCTGAGTTTGATCAAAATATCAATCATTTCCAAAATTTTAATTACCCTAAACTCGAGGCAGGGAGCATAACTAAATCTTTACCTGTAATCGACAAAAACTATTCCTTCACGACGGAATTATCAGAAACACGAAACGAAAATAATAAAACTACGTATAACATTCCGACAAATTCTTTTAACGCAAACATTTTAAACATTCCAAAATTTGAAAAATTACCAGACTCAACATGTAATAAAGCAAATTTTGTAATCGATAACGAAACCTTTTACAATAAAAACATAAAAATAGGTAACAATAAACCTGATTCGCATATTACTCTATTCGGCTTAAACGGGAACACGCATCCCGAGCCTTTTACACTTTATAATTCTACCTCAAACCTGGAAAACCAGGTACTAACCGGAAAACGAAATCTCACACCGAATGCTACGAGAATTACCTGGCGATTCGGTATAAAAATTCCTTTTGCCAACAATAAAAATCTGACACGTAATAAACATATTGAATACTACATACGATCAAACGACAAATTATCTAAAGAATATTATCTCATTACCGATGCAAATAAAATACTTTCCCTACTAACAACCAAACAAAATTTAACAAAACTTTTAACGAATGACAAATTAAATCTATATGATTTCAAAACTAATCATTTTAAACTTTTAGATAAACCCTATTTTTATTTTAACAAACAAACTGCTAAAACTCTAGATATAGTTTGTAACATACTAGATAATTTTAGATTCAATAATATAGTTTTAGCTAATAAAGCTATAAATAAAACAATTACTGAAATACTTATTTCGGAAGCTACAGCTCCATTCCGTTATAAATTATTATTAACTCAACAATTACTAGACGGATTTTGCAACACGATAGAATGGGTATACAGAACTTTTACCTATTTATGCTCTACCGTGAAAAATTCTAATACTAAAATATATTTAACTACATCGAAACCTAAAGCAATGGCCTTAAAAAATATACCACTTCAACGACTTGAACTTTTACCAATTCTTATACAGAAAGAAAAACGTACATTAAACTTTACATTTGATAAGAAATTTTATTTGAATAACTATACGGTTACTTTATTTCTTATAAAAACTCGATCATACAAGCGGAAAGCCTTTGTAACTGATAGAGTAGACGAAATAGAAACAAATTGTAATATAAACATTTTGACTTCTAATACTGCAATTAATCTAAACTTACGATTTCCATTGTGGTTACGAAAAACTTTCGATACAAACAACTTTTTAACTTTTAAAATTCCAATAACAAAAATGGAATGTGAACCTATTAAACTTGCTTCAAACAATACTTTTACTACCTTGATTGATTGTTGCATCACTAAAGCTCTTCATATTGAACAGACTTTTAATTTGACTGCGAAATGCTTTGTGGCCACACGGAAATGGTTCATTACGCAAAGTTGCAAAATTTACAAAATATATTCAGAAAACTGTTCAAATTTTGTTGACGCAGCATCAAACTTAAAACGATTTCATATGATACTACAACATAAATCAATTAACACAAGGGCAACAAATAATTTAGCAATTAAACTTTTAATAAATTATACCATATCAAAGACCCTTCATTTCGAAACTATCGATTTACTATCTATTCATCTGTTGAATCTTATAAAGCGCGTTAAAATGAGATATCGGGAACATTTATTTAACTTACAAACATTCTTATAAACAATTTTACTTAAACACATTTTAACGCAGATTGACAAAATTCTAAACCTGAATCTCCTTTGATTCCAATCCTAATTACTAATCCCTAACAATTCACTTTCCAATTGGAAATTCTTTAACCTTTATACCTAACCTACTATTGCTTAAAATACCTGTCAAGAGACACCTCCGGATCCACGACTGCAGGAATCAACCTTTTGGAAGCATGCAACTAGATCATGATTGCATATGCAATTATTATATCTAATTAGAATCTTTCAACCCTTGAACTGGCACTTGAGACGCGTTCCAGCAAACTATCCAGGGGAAGGAAGGTACTGTGTGTGTTGTGACCAATAAAACAAACAATAGTGTGGTGAATTGTGCAACAACAAAACTTTGTGTACTAATAACTAACAGAGATATATACCATATCATACAAATCAATGCATAAACTATTTTATCTTGAGACTTTAAACACCAAACTTGTGAGTGTTATCAATAGACATTATAATCAATCGTGAATTTATAAACTGTGCTATCACAAGACTTTAATCATTACTAGAATTTAATTGATAATAAAATCAATCATTTTTACATATTATTATAACTAATTAATCTTTATACATTTATATTGTAACTTTACTATAACACCATAACTATACGAAGCAATGTTGAAAAATCATGTAAATTAATTTCCCATTGTTTTTTCAAATCGGGCCGGCATGTTCGAGCCTCACAAATTTTATTTATCCATCTCCCTCTACCTATATACTGAACTCCCTCTAATCTGTAATAAAATAATTTCCTACCCTACTCTAGGTACTAAGATAGTTATAAGAAATTAGCCATTCTGTACGCATAACTTGAACCGTG